TGAGCCCTACAAAACGATATAGGTCTCATTCCGAAAGGCGGGGGTAAGTTCGTGAGGTTTCCTATAAGTGATCAACAGCTGTTTATATTCAACGGAATAATCTAAAATGTTGCAAAGTTGATTATGTTTGAAGTAAACCGACTGTATTGGTGAATAACGAAGTTGAAAAACGAATCGATATTGAAGAGAATGATCCCATCAATCAGCAGCCACCAATCGTCACATTCGATGAATGGACGAAAGAAAAATTAAAAAATGGAGAGCATCGCAAAATGAAGGTTTCTGTTTTGTGTTATTGTTGTTCCACCAAAACTGTTCTACCACGCATTCTAAGGTTCCTTTTTTTGCGATTTGATGTTCCTTTCATACCAATATGATTACTAAAAGGTTTTTTCGCAACATTCAATATTTTGAACTTATTTTCATGATGATATGGAAATACTATTGGAAGCACTGAAAATTTCACTTGTTCACTTCAAAATTAAATTTGAACAAAAGCGCATCATTTATTGAACATTGTTTGATTATGCAAATTACTAGTTTTTTATTGTAGAATCAGCAAAAAGCATTAGAAAATGGATCTAATAAAATGAAGGTGAATTTAAATGAAAATAAAATGGCTTTGAATGAAGTCTCATCGAATATCAATAATATGAGACAAGAAGCAGCTACACAACGCAATTATGCGTCAAGAGATTGTGGAGCTAAAGTTTTGTTCAGTAACGATGAAGCAGAAAATAGAGTTGGTTGTCGTTTCATTTCGTCTTGCTGAATCTTTGTTTATACTTCGTTCAGAACGTTTGATAATTGTTGTAATAATAATCGCAGAGCTGTCACAACACCAGCAATGGTAAAAATGAAAATGAAGACGTTATTTTATTTAATACTCATATGATTTTAGAATGCAGTCCTGAATGAAAAAGAACGTGATGATTATATGCGCAATCCTTGTGGTCGAGCGCATAACAAATGGTTTATTATTGAATTGTGTGAAACTATCTCGGTAATCTCACTTTGTTTAATATTCAAATTAGCCTGAACATTTACTTATTGTCATCAACACAAGATGATAGCTATTACTATTAATTATTGAAGAATTGTACTTCTAAATGGTTTCATTATAAAAGCACTTTATGATAGGATGTATTATTTGCAGTTAACGGCAATTGAACTAGCAAATTTCGAACTGTTTTCGTCTGGCCCTGAAAGGGTGAGAATATCTTTAAGTGAAAGGTATCCAACAAATGAATGGAATGTACTGGATGAAATAACTGCTGCTGATAGCAGAGATATTCAACGATTTCCTATTAACGCTAATGGTTATGCTAAATTTATTCGAGTTAGTTGATTTTATCATGCATTATATTTGTTATGAGATTGTGATATGATCAGCTGATTGCTCACAATTGATTTGAGGGCATTACTACAACTGTATGAAGAGTAGAGCAATGGTAAAAACAATTTCAGATAGAACTATTAACACATCATGGGAATGAACATTATTGTACATTGAGTATGGTTCGTATATTTGGTATATCAATGGTAGATGAATATGAATACGAAGCGCAGGCTGATGCTGATTCTATGCCCGAAGTTGTTCATAATCAAATTGATGTCGAAAACGACAGCAAAGAGGTTGAGTCTGAGAAGCAAAATGATGTGATCAATAAACAGTCGGATGGAGCAGCGCTGAAGATTGCTCGCAATAAGAGTGAAATACAAACGAAACTGAACGATTCAAAAGATGAGCAGATTGCGTTAATGGATGTGATGGTAAATGCAGTGAATAAGATCGCTATCAAAAATATAAAAATCGCTTTTCAATCAGCATTTCTTGGGGGTTGGAGGAGCGATACTGGTGAAGTTGTAATGAATGCTGGACCGCTGAAACAACAATGTGCTACCTGTCCCTTACCAGCTGATTCATCATTAAAAGCAATGCTTTTCTGTCGGACGTTCTTTGCGTATGGATTTTCGGACAGTAATAATTCAACTTTCATAGATAATAAACCTAGTTCGCAAATCAGTTCGAATCCGATCAACGTTACTAATTCAAATCCTGAGAAAATCACTGAAAGAAAACGAAATAATCATCACCAATGGAACATTTCAATGAGTTCAGTTCAACGGAGATTTGTAAATGGAGTGCGAATGAAAAAGAAATGTTCACTGAATGAAAATTCGTCCTCAAATTCACCGCAGAATTCGAATGATAAAAAGGACCCACCATCATCACATCACTCAAATATCACTGCAAATCAGCCTGATACTCAGCCTCAGAGTCAATCTGTTCATACCGCTCATTCATCCTCTCATAATAATAACGGTTCAGTTATCTTTTTATTATAATTCTTCAACTCTATCTTCAAATTTATCCAAAGGTGTTCAAATGGTCACATTCTGCTATTATGCAGTTAAATTCTACAACTATATGCATGTTCACTATTTGACTACCTAAACAATGATAATTAATCGTAAGATAGCTGTAATAGTGTGACTATGTTCAGGTAACTACCAAAGTTTGCCGGGTGTGTCGTTGAGTCATAAAGAATCCATATTTCTAAAGCTGAATAAACGAATCAATGCGTTAGAACTGAATATGTCATTGAGCAGCGAATATCTGTCTGAGTTAAGTCGTCGTTACGTGAAGCAACTTAACGAGAGTCGCTTGTATTCTGATCGATTGCTGAAATCTGTTGAGAATGTTACACAGAACACACTTCGTAATGCGAAACAAAAATTCGATAAACAGGTATTCATTACCGTGTCCCTATTTTCTTTTTATCAAGTTTTATTCCAATTTTGTATCGTTATCATTATTACTTTTAAAAAACGTATTCGATTTATTATGTCACCGATCAATTTTATAGTGTTCATATTCATGAGCATCATTAATAATTGAACTTCGAATGTTTGAATAAAGCGTTCCCTCATTAATTAGCTTCCTCGTAACTTTTCAATGTGTTGGACATTTTTTTCTTACAAAACTTTCCAATAAAACACAATTTAGAGATTTGAATAAATCAGTGAAAGGTTTCAATTGTAAATGTAAAATAGCGCATCATTGATGGTTCATTTCATAAAAACCATTTCATTGAAATCTAATGAAAGAAACTGGATATAATGATTCGGAAACGACTTTAAGATAACCGAGATAAAACGTGAGATGAAACAACTCTCCTTGATGGTTAAAACACTCTGGTCAAATTTCAAAACATTCGAGTGTCCATTATCAACAACTTCAACCGTTAATAATAATGATGACAATCAAATTTCTTCCTCGTCTTCTGTTCAAAAGCATTTGGGTCATGTTCCTTATCCGAATGGCTATCTATGGACGGTATTCATTCATGTTTTAATTGAATTAATGATGAACAGTTTTATTCCCAAATAATTCAACGAATAATGTATGACAAATAAGGTTGAACTAACCGGAGAATCAATTTCAGATTGAACAATTAATAATTTTGATAGTGATCTCGCAGATCTGTGCGATATTTGTCGTTTTGTTATTGGAGAGATGTTATAGGCATTATGCTTATTGGAATAAGTCCACTTTGAACAATGTTATTGATGAGAGATTCGAACTTTTATTCAAATCGTATTCAACTAGACAAGGTTATTAATTCTCACTTATTATTGCCGTGTTTTAATTTTGTCGTCAGTACGGTGGATGATAACTATCTATCACAGTGATCAAAATGCACGAAAAAGATAATGAAAAGGGCAAGAGATAAAGTCGATTTAACATTCAAAAGTGCTCATGTTTTGAATATTAGATTGACTGTGTCCCAAGACGAAGTAAATCTGATTCAAACACAATGGCATGATCCTTGTGGATTGCTCTCATAAATGCTGTCATTATAATGATCTCACCGAAATGTGTTCATTTAAGATGGTGTCGAAGAATATCGCGAGTGTATGTGTTCAAATGATAATCTTAAATCTTCGCAAACGGTGACATCAGAACCGAATTATGCGTTGAAAAAAATTAAATTGGAATCATCAGATATCATTGATGGGATCGTAAGGAATCGATCTGTTAGTCTGATAGATAATCAGTCTGATATATCGGTTTATAATGATGATGCTGATATTAAATGGGATAAACAGCGGTTATCTGAACATCCATCGTTGAGTAATTCATTCAAGAATGGCCCTCTGAACGTGATTGAATGTAATAATCATAATAATCAGTTGAATCATTTCAGTGATAATTCCCCTGATAAAAATTATAATGTTTCTTTATTAAAATCATTGAAACCAGCAAATACGTCGCGTTCAGGTTCACTGAATGATTCTAGTTGGCATATTGTTAAGCCGAATAAACGAAGAAATCGAAAGAGAGTCATCTTCAGTTCTTGATTTGGATGCGTTATTTTATTTGTAATGTTATCAGCATATATACAGTTGATGTTTTTATATCTGAACGATTGTTTTTGTACAAAACGACAAGTTAAGTCATGAAATTTACGGTCTGAACAAATTTTTGGATGTGGTTGAAAAGGGTATCACTGGGATGAAAATTAAAAGAATACTCAAGTGAAGTTTTGTGCATTTCCGTTGGCTTAACTTATCATATTTATTCAGTATCCATTAATTGAAATAATAGTTTTGGATAGTTACTGTATTGAAGCAGTTGGACGGTATTCAGCTGATCGTGAGATCTTTGAAATATTTCTTTGCGAAGTGCAAGTTCAGTCCTTCGATTAATGTACATATTGTTTGCGCCTGATATTGTAAATTACGATAGTCTATTTATATGACTTTCATTCGTTTGAGTAGCTTTTTTCATTATACTTATTTGGTATAAGACAGTATTGACGGTGATAATTTGCAATGTGTATTCATGTGAACAATTTAATTCATTTTCGATTCAGTATTACTTGATACAATATTTTTGTGTTGCTCAACTGAAAACTGTGTTTTTAGTCCACAAATGAGATTAATAAATTCATTGACTCATCATCGCGATTCTTACAGATCAATCTCCTTATATTTCCTCTCATATTGAGCACTGCTTTAAGATTCTGTTTCGGTTTTTCACCTTATAACAGTTATCATCTCATAGTAATGATACACAATGTGCTGAAACCTGCATGCGGATATTTTTATGGGGTAAGGCGAAGTTGACAGGAAGGAGTAAGCATCAGTCAGTTGTCACACGACAATTCCGCTGTGTTTAATTTGTAACAGTAGCGTTCATAATTTCTGAAAAAAAAAGGTTCTGATAGCGAAACGAAATGATGACAGCACAAATTTACCGAGGGGCGGCCGAATGTCCGCACTTAACATTATTTTTGGTTGTCGGTAATTACGGAGGTTCGATAATTTTCGGGTTGTTGGGTCGGAATCTGACCGAACGATTTTTAATTTCCAATTTCCGTCGAAGTTATGAAACTTCAAATAATGGGTTCGATCAAATTTGGACTGAATCACTCGAATTTCGGTTCCAGTTCTGAATTTCAGAGACTTATGAAGTTTACTCGGTCATATCCCAAAACAACCCAAAATTCGTTCTGTTACCATAACACTGTTTTCTGATGTATGCGTTTTCATCAAACTATAGGTGCATGAGCTACTGCAAAATTGCATGTTCCCCTTTAATTAGCGTGGTAGTACGACAACCTCATTGAATGAGTATGTGTTTATTAGCTTAATGAGGTGAACTGCGAATTTCGGGGACGTCGTTCCCGACTTTTTTTTTGAATCGACCTTATTTTCGTTATCTCCGACTGGAAAATCTCATCACAGACTTTTTTCCGTCTCCGCACTATCCTAGTGTATGTTGATGAACAACAACGCACAATGAAACTTGCCGTTTATAGGACTGATCAAATAAACATGACGTATCGCTAACACACGTTTGATGTTTGGTGACGTATCGTTAACAAAAGATCATAAGAGCACTGTAAAATCAGCGGACAATGGAATGGATGTTGGAGGCATGTGAATGCGGTGGAACTAATAGAGATTAATCAGTGTGATTGACACGAGCCTTTCATTGAATGAGCATGTGTACATTCATCAACAACAACGCATAATGAAATTTGCTCTTTATCGCACGAACAATGTTCGCTGATCGTGTACACGATCAAACAAACCGATTATTCTGTTTGATGACGTCTCGCTAACACAAAATGACTTGTGTGATAACAGCGACTGTAATATCGCCAACCAGAAAACAGCACATGTAAATGAGGTGGAACTAACAATGACTGCTCACAAACTTACTCGGTCTTGAAAAAGGAGGGGGAGGCAACTTTGTTCCAAAGGGCGAGGGTAAATTCGTGATCTTTCTTTGTACGAAAAATTTCTTCTGCGAAGGTTTTCCAGCCAGAGAGATCGGGAGTGACCAATTGATCTAAAGAATTTTCGACTAGAAGAACTTGTATACAGAACAAGAGTTGGCTTACACTAAAAAATAATCTTGATGGTCGCAACCCTTCATAAAATCACGAATTCAAGTCACGATTCAAACAACGAAAATTCAGATCACCGATCCACGAAGTTATCAATCCAATAATCTCGGCTCATCAACGATCAACACTATGAACAGTTGTACGCTCGACGAGCCAACCAACGGAGCAGACGAGTCCCAGAGACGTCTTAGAACAGTTTTTTTATTGCCATGAAACCGTAAAATGTATCATTTGTTTATTATTTTTTGATTATTCATTGTCTTTGAATACTGTCATCAAAAGATATGATCAATAACTTCGTGGTGAGCACCCATTACCATCGCTTAGTTCCAAAATTTTGATCCAATGCCTCCTACTTGATAACAGTACTCAGCAAAAAATAATCAGTGCATAAAACTAAATCAAATTAAATTGAGATAACTCGTTCTCAATGCAATGGTCACATGATTTATCTTTCATTCTCTGTCTCTTATTATTCAACCGAAGACTTTGTATTGCACCAATAACGTGTGTCAAAGGTTGCTTCGAAAATGACGTTTCAACCAATGTAACTATTGATCAGTTATATATAATATATATATAATCATGTATATATCATATATAATGTTTACGTATAACACTGTATTTAGTGCTGAATCCTCCGATCTGTTACTGCTCTCAAATATCGATAAATTGTTGACGTTCTAAACTTTCACAATACATTTACGGATTTATCAGTTGTCCAGTTGGAAGTGTTTGAGAAACAAAAAATTCTCACGCGAATGAAATTTTTGCGTTGTTACGATAGATGGAGCAACTGTTTATGTGCAGCGTGGCAGCGCTTTGAACTTTGACCTTATCTTCCTCTGGTCGCTTTGCACTCGCCATCAAAAACCCTTACTTTTAGTCAAATTCGTTTGATGAGTGAATAGCATCCAAAGAAACGGTTCATCGATTGCTCTACCGTATTTCTATTCATTTTACTTTTATTACTTGCAAATATCTCGTTAAATTGTTCAGCCATTTTATTCGATCAGTTGTCGTTCTTATGCTTCAGTGTTTTCATTTGAACACTGATTTTGCTGCCCAACAATACATACGCGTTCTGAAGATAATTTCCAACCTCTGTCACCAGAATCGTAATACTCACTAAATTAACTAAATTCATGGCAAAAGGCACTCTTGCTGATAATGCCGCTGCGCGCACGTGCTGAGATAATCGCTTTGCCCCATGTGTATCAATTCAATTCGAAGTCAAAACACGAGTATGCTTAAGCTTAGACTTACGCTTAGCCCAGTGATGAGGCTAACGCATCGGCCTCGAGTTATGTATGAAGCGTATGAGCACACAAGCATCTGTAATGCCGCGGTGGCGCCCGTTATCAGCAAAAGTATCAAACTGATTGCTTAATGCAGATTTTGCATTTCATTTTGTGGTCAACCCAACGATTACTTTTGTTGGAATGGATGCGCTATAATCGATGAAATGATGTTATCAACTCAGAATAATCACTGACTTGATAAGATTTGTGTACCGCGAAGGCGTTCGTTCGTAAACTTTCATAATGAAATCGAAACGTCAACACATCTTCCTTCACCTAGCAGTATTCTCATTCTCTTCAAACATCTCGCAAATGATTAAACACTTCGAACACTTTGTCCATTTCCGAATGTATTTTCGAGCACGGGCAACAAATGAATGAACTGGAAAATGCTAGAACAGTTGAAAATATTCACGTATTGTTCATTTTTTTGCTGGAAACAATTATAGATTCAGAATCTGATCAAGGAATGATGAACAGTAATCAGTGGAGTGTGCGATGTTTATCGTTTAGACACCAAAACATTGATCCGTTTCCATCGAAAAAGAATCAAAACATCAAGAAAACGTGAAATGTACTTTTACTGATCCAAAAGAAGAACGCAGATAAGAAATTATTTTTTCTTATCAAGTGCAAATCATTTACAAGAAGCCGTTTATGTCGCTTGTGAGTGAAGGGATTGGATATTCTAGGTTGATTTTGGGTTGGGAATGAAATTAGGTGCGGAGGCTTCTGAAGAGGAGAGGGCAAAGTCGGGGGCACCGAAATCTTGCGGATACTCGGGGTCTCTAAATGTTGTTCTCGAATTCGCTCAATTGTTGCCTTGATCAGGTAGATGCACTGATCACGTCCTCGATGCTCTCGCTTCACATCGTTGTCTCTTCTGTTTTTTCCTTTCTGACTCCATCAGTTTTATTTCTAACTTCACTTTTTAAGATTAGCAGTATTGTCTTAAACTTCTCATCAAATACTAAACTTGCTAGATAACTATCTAAATGAAAACTTTCATCTCTGGATGGCAAGTTACTTTTCCGCTTTCCTTTCAAGACCCGTAAGCAAGCAGGTATCTATTGCACCAGCTGCACTAATGTCAACGAACACTCAATCGAGCATTATTTCATTTACATGATAACTTTCGAACGCAGCAGTGATTAGTTCGCTACTGAAAAGTAAAGTATCATAATTGCAGAGTGCAACTCATTTCGATAATTTGATACATTCTGGTCAAAACGACCATATTCAGTGGCTACGTTTGGGTTGTTATAAAAACACTTGAAGAAAGGTGATTAACTGAAGGAAAAAATAACAGATCAAAATGATTGGACAAAATTGATCAATATTCAGTAAGTGTGGTGTGATGGTAAGAGGATACGGGTATAAAAGGAAAAGTTTTAACGACTCCTTTAATTACTGACTTTGTGTGCGATATTCAACCCGTTTAGGATCGATGCAGCACTTCCGTATCGAATGCATTGCATTGGCTCTCATTTCCTTGAGCAGTTCACCTACAACATCAATTCTGATTATGAATTAATCAGTTTCCAAATTATCCCATTACCTCCCATTTCCCATCGTTAACATAACGCATGTGTACTTGGTGCGGTTCTTAACGGTACTAACAGCAATAATAGGATCTTAGCAATAGTAATGTAATAGTGATGTTAGTAATCGATTGTATTATTCGCATTTTTATCGTTATTATAAATGTTGATTGCAGTCATCAAAATGCTCGCAAGAAAGCTATTTCTTAGTTCATCACTGCTTCGTCATTCATCGTTGATAAAATCGCTCGCAGTCAATGGTAAATTTATTTCAACATCAAATTACCTCACAATCGCTTTTCAGACAATCTTCATTTGAACAATCGATTTGAATTCCGACTGATTACCGACAATGAATGCACATTTTAGTTCATTTTGGTTTATGATCGTTCCTTTGAACAGTGAATTTCTGGAATAGTGACAATAAATAATTCACTCATAAGTTAAAAAGTGAACTCGTTTGCAGACACATTCAGTCGCTGTTATTCAACACCGCCAGTGGCTCATCTGAATGAATCTGAAACCCTTTTGGAGGAAACTGGTAATTATATTTTCGTTTCTTACGGGGTCAGTCACTTTCCGATCAGTACTCCACTGAGCTACTGATGGGCCGCTGATGCATCACTAGTGTTCAACTGTGAATTGAAGTGTTTTACTCGAAATTTTCTTAAAACTAGTTACAGAACTTTAATAATGGGGACCATTTGTGGGCGAATAGGTTCTCGAATTACTACTTCTCATGTATTGTCTTAGTAGCTGTAGTTTTACGCTGTCATGTGGTAATACTATATCACGTTATGAATAGTGGAAACGGAAAATACCGATCAGTGGTTTCGGGATGGTCAATCTCAAATAGCGTTGTTACTTCGAATCATTTTAAACACTTCTGGGAAAACGCGCAAAAATTCATTATTAACCTCGCGATGAAATTGGCCGTTTTGTTAGGTGAACAGTGAATTTCTGGAATAGTGACAATAAATAATTCACTCATAAGTTAAAAAGTGAACTCGATTGCAGACACATTCAGTCGCTGTTATTCAACACCGCCAGTGACTCATCTGAATGAATCTGAAACTCTTTTGAAGGAAACTGGTAATTATATTAACAAAATTCATTTAATTTTCATTTTTGTAGATCATAATAATAATGATATTAACAATGATGATAAAAATGATAATAATAATAATAATAATAATAATAATAATAAATATTTGAGTTCGGAAATTTGGGGAGGATGTGGTCAAACCGTTAGTAGATCGAATGGATCATGATTCAGCAATGGATAAAAGTGTTATTGATGGATTATTTAGTAATGGATTCATGTCGGTTGAGGTTCCAGTCAAATACGGCGGAACTGAAGCGAGCTTCTTTGATGCTATGATTATCGTTGAGGAACTAGCTAAGGTGTCTTAAATGTTCATACAGTCCTTTACTCAGATATGTAAAATTGATGCTGATCAATCTGAAACTGACATTTTTTAGGTCGATCCATCGGTGGCTGTGTTTTGTGACGTTCAGAACACATTAGTTGCACCACTGATTATTGAATACGGTACAGAATCACAGAAAGAAAAATATTTACCACGAATTTTTTCTGATTGGGTGAGTGGAATTCTTGGTTGCATTTTATTATAACACATGGAGTGAGAGTGCACATGAGGGAATATATTCCCAACGGACAAGTCGAAACGTATATATGCAGATAATCTGTTTGTAGTTGAAATGGTAACGTTAAGGACATGCCATCATAATCACGATTAGTCAAAGCCAATCAATTTCGAACGCTAGTCGTGACCAGTGAAGTATAATTTGAAAAAAATTGATTTAGTTCAGGCTCCGCGTTTTTGAAATTCCCACCTCCAGTTTAGCATTTTTTGAATTCCGATTCCAGTTCTGCATTGTCCAATTTTTGGACTTGGCCCATTTTCGGCTCCACATTTTTAAAAGTTCGGTCCCGGTTCCAGCTCCAGCCCCGGAGTAATCCGCATACGGAAAAGAACCATCGTGCAGGTATTAGCTCTTGCTATGGAATGTTAATGCGATTTTTTGAGGAAGCCAAAAAAAAGAACTTTTTGTGGCTTCGGAGCTTGGGCAACACAGGTTTTGAATGCTCTTAAAAGTCAATAACTTTCGATATCGCCTCTTAAGATCAATTGCAGCACAGTCAGATTCCATTAAGTGATTCATCCTTCCTCAAGACTTTTGTTAATTTGAACTTGTGAATGTTATTATGAGTGATGCTAAAAATGAAGGTGCGTTCGAAAATTGGTGCATTATTTCCCAATCTCACTTCATGGACAAACATTTCATAATTATCGCAGCGTTTTATTAACCGATTGAAAATGCTGCTGAATATTGTCTGACGCGAAAGGGAACAATGATCATAGACCATAGTCATGTCGCAGAGCAATTGAGGTGAGGGGTGCGTAACAATTCGCTGAGAAGTACGAATGGTTTATTCGGTAATATACGGGTGAGAATGCCATTTCAAATTCTAACCTAAACAGTTTATGTGAACAAGTGTTAACAACCTGTCATCTTAACAGCTTAATGAAAACAGCATGTTGTACGCATAGTATAAATCGACCTAATATTCATTCTTGTCTTTCAGGTCGGCGCATTTTGTTTGTCTGAAGTTAGTTCAGGTTCGGATGCATTTGCATTAAAGACAACTGCAACAAAGGATGGTGACGATTATATCATTAATGGTAGCAAAATGTGGATCTCCAACGCGGAACATGCTCATTTCTTCATTGTAAACCTTTTATCAATTTCACATTTTCCTTTGATATTTATTGTAGGTGAAGGTGAATAGCACTGTACTTATTATTATTTTAAATTATTACTATGATCATCTTGATATGCATTCCTTTATCTAGCACAGTATGTTTTGGTGGTTTGTGTCGTTTCTGTTACATTACCATCTTTTGATTGGATAGTTTCTGCGTTCTGATGAGTGACCCGTGATATAAAACGTTTGAGGTGATGGCAAATGTCGATCCAAGCAAGGGTTATAAAGGTATAACGTCATTCCTGGTTGATAGATCATTGCAAGGAGTAGAAGTTGGAAAGAAGGAAGATAAACTTTGTATCAGAGCGAGTAGCACATGCCCGGTGCACTTCAACGAAGTTCGTGTCAATAAAGATATGCTTCTCGGTGAGCTTGGCAAAGGTTTGTACAGCACTATCTTTAATGCCGTCCAAGAAATGATCTTTTTTCACCAGCCACAAATGATAAGTTAACTTGTCAGTAGCTGTAAGTGTCAACCATTACGTTCGAGGTTTTCATTCTCAGATCTCATATCGATCCTTGATCAGCGAACTGCTAAACCGTTAGTTTTTGGCCCAAAAAGTTTGTCCATAAATGACTTTTGTGTATTTTGCTGTATCTAAAACAGTGATGAAATTATATTCAAATGTTTAAGGTTACAAAATGGCCATTGAATGTTTGAATGCGGGACGTATTGGAATCGGGGCACAAATGCTTGGTTTAAGTGAAGGATGCTTCCAGTCGACAATACCTTATCTACAACAGCGTAAACAGTTTAATAAACGTCTCATTGACTTTCAGGTTCATTATTCCTTCACAGATCATTTTTTTCATCCAAGCATTCGAATGTCCTAGAATAATGTCATTAAAGATCATGTATCATCTATTTATATCGTCTCATAATTGCATGCGATCAGTCATTCGATGAACTCCAGTAAAATTACTGATATGAATATTCACGAAATTTCGATATCCTTCTAGCTATCACTTGTTTAATGTTTCAACATCAACCGAAATTTTCATATATTCAACAGATTCCTTGACAGTATGATGTGCTCATATGTTACAACAAGAATAATGGAAACTTGCAGGGTTTGCAACACCAGATTGCTGATATTGCAACACAAATTGAAGCAACACGTTTACTTGTTTATAATGCAGCACGACTGAAGCAAGCAAACGCAAGTTATATCAAGGTTTTCATTCATTTTAATTCGTTGATTACCGATGAACAAACTATGTTACTTGTTATTTGTTCTCTGTTCGTTTGCTCTCCGATTATCATTTAATTTGCTCATCAATTCGTTCGCAATTGTAAGGAATCTGCCATGGCGAAATGGTATAGCTCAGTCGTAGCAGGAAATACAACAACCAAATGTATCGAATGGATGGGTGGAGTTGGAATCTCGAAGTCGTTTCCAGTCGAGAAATTCTATCGAGATTGTAAAATTGGTAATTTTCATTCAATTCTTATCTAGTCATTCCGTCAGTCTTACATCAAAGTGCGACTAAAATTTAGTATAGCTTTTTGATGATTTGTGGATGACTGTTTCATATTATTAACGTGAATCGTAACCTCATTCGTTATTTTATTTCTATTTTAGACGATAATGTGCGTAATAATGTTTGTAGTCATGACATGACAACATAATGTCACTTTGTGCGAGATTTTTAACGAAGTTTCGCATAGCGGAGGACATTTTTACCATAGTCATGTAATGCTAAGAGAGCGTTTTTCGGATATAGGCACATTTATGGGAGGTGGAATGAGGGGGCGGGAGGGGGAGGCGCTGGAACAGTTGAAGCGAATACCGCTGAAAGGTTCATATCGCTTTGATAATTCCATGGATTAGATGAGAGTTCACTTGACACGTATTACGAATTATGTGCACCTCATGCCATCAATATATTTTCAGGCACTATCTATGAAGGCACTTCGAACGTGCAACTTAACACGATTGCTAAACTGATTGATGCTGAATACAAGGAGATATCTTAAATTATATAGAATATTTTCGATAGTATTCATGTTCTGAAACTCATTCCCAATTACATATTCATTAATATTTTATTGAATCCTAATGTCTATACAGAAATACGTTGAGGTTTTGAAAATGTTTTCTTAATTGCATCTGCTGACTAGAGAGATATCAACGAAAGCAGTAATTCGAACAAGTTCAACACGATAACGATTCTTCTATGTGATCGATAACGATTCTTCTAACAACTTCAACACGATAACGATCTAGAAAAGTCACTGAACAAGTTCAAGATCAGTGTGTTACCGAAATGATTCATCAAATAACTTATTTAAGGCCAAGATGTTTTTGCTCAAAAAACGGATGAGTCTTGTACTATTTCCATTATTTTTATGATGGCATCAAGCAGTAAATTAATTTTTTCTTTGAAAGTTTCATTGAACTGATTATTCACCCCACTTCTGGAATGTATGCACACACACACACACACACACACACACTGTGTAGCACCGGGTCATGTTGCACATTGTGAATAAATTCATGAATCGAATAAAACTTGAAAACAACAGCGTCTCTGCGAACGAACTGACTCATTGTAAGTGAAAAGACTGTCAATTAGGGTTTTATTTATGACATCCTAACATATCATCAACAAACAAATTTTCGTACCGATTTGAATGCGCAATTGATCATTTTCGACGAAGGTTTGTCAAAAACTAATCGAACATTTAATAAATGAGGCGAATCAAGTGGCAGATGCATCAAGAAACTGACAGTAATAATCTCTATTGGCCAGTAAATAAAACAAAATAATTGTCGCACTCCATAGCAGCCAATACGCGGTCCATCGACAATAGTAAAGTCGTTTGGAAGGCACTTGTTCCAGTTCAAAGATAATGCTCGGAATTGCTGGCAATAACTGCAAACTTTCAGCATGCATTCAAAATATCCGTTTATGTGCAATTGGAACAATTGGATTTTGAGTGCTTTAAAAAATTAAAAAATACGAACGCTTACATTAGTTGCAGACTGATCATATTTATCATACAAATATTCACTTTGTTGAGGATACATGCGTGGTAATGAAGTTAAGCTCTGAAAAATCACTGATATCCGTGCCAATAATGACATCAGTAAATGGTCGTCATTCAATTAGCTATAAAATCGCAAACAGCAACTATCTGAGCGATGGCGAAGGCGAATGAAGACGATTATTTAAGCAATATCCAACGAACAACGCTTCGTTTGATTCTACAATAAAAGCAGCACTCTCAAAAATGCCGTTGCTTATCTGAAGCTCGAGTTGTATCGATACACTCCTCACTTAAAACCTTGTTAGGTAATATCTCGGTGAGTTCCTACAGAGCCTCATCAAATCACTGTAGAAGCTTAGACTTCACTAGTAACGTTTTCATGCAATCGCGCGATTATGAATGTCTGCAATTCTCGAGAAAGAAAATGTCCATCAGAACTGTCTGCGAATAAATAAATCGTGAACCTACATTGCAGTGTCGACATCGACCTAGTGTATCAGTGTCATCATTCGCTACTTCAGTGCCAATATCTCTCATTTCATTCGTTACTGCTCTTAATTTATCACCAATTACTCCATCTTTCCAATTAACATCTTATCAATGCTCATTCACAACAATCTACTGCAGTGAATAAAGCTCATTTGGCTCAATAATTCCATTACTATCACTTCTTGCTATTACTACTGTAATGTTTATTATTAACACTGCTATTGTCATGGTTTTTGAGTCAATAATAACTTTTCTATGTCTTTGTATTGTTGCTGATTGTGAGTCAACAACTCAATTCAGTCCAATTAACTGATCATCTTCATTACAGAAATTTCGAATCCGGATTTGCGATTTTAAGCAAATGTTCTGGAGCCTGAAGTTCTTTCTCGTTTACTACTTATCTGTACACTCTTTTCGCGATGCATGAAAAGCAATGTTTCGACGTTTTGAAAGAAACTGTTTTAAAGGTTGATTTTAAACAAGGAACTGTCTTGATTCTTCCAGAAGGGATTTAACATGAGAATAATATCATTATGGAGATTACAAGTTGTTGGCTGATCGAGAACGCTTAACACGTTGATGTTTTCTGCGTTGTTTCAAGCTGATGTCACGAGTACTTCGTTCACTTTTATAACTTACATCGGTCGGCGATATGTCATTTTCTGACTGCAAAAATCAGAGGAACTGATATCGATATTATTGCCCTCAGTGTCGTTTATCTTCAACTTCATCTTTACTGAGAGCATTGCAAAATTCTGCTTCCAATGTTTTCAAAAAGTTCAAGTGTATCATGAGGCAATGCATACCATAACAGATCACTTGAATAGAACTGTTTCATTGAGAAGCCATTAGCCCACTTAGAACAATTATTTGCCGAGAATAATTTCAAATAAAATTGTGTTGTAGCTGCTATGCGATCTTTTATAAAATAGCCATATTAGTTCTCAGAACTGCAGCCAAAAGAGAAATTCAACGTTTTCTAGATGAACATTCTGACTTATCCGGCAATGAAACATCACGAATTTTAATGAACAAGTAGGTAAATTACTTTCTCTCGTCCAGTGAACAATGTTGGTGATTTTGTGAGAGGTGATATACCCCTTCGTTTCTTCATTTTGTTACGCCTTCTCTGAAAGGCTTAAATTGACAGCACCGAAATATCCTGTTTGAATTATTTAAATTAGCAAAACCGAACAACACTAATGGGATAACAGCGCACTAAAACAGGTTAAGATCGACTGGATACCGAACCCCTTGAATGCTGTGTAATATGTCAAGGGTGCATGAACTTGCACTGATAACCGTTTCAATGACTCCTCAAACAACTTCCCACTCAACAAGTGTAATTAATCATTTATCAGTGAACTTAATCGAATGAACAGTCCCATTTGATGCTGATATCAGTGTACAGTCCATGTATTATTCCCTCCATAAATTCCTGTTACATTCAGTGCTAATCCTCAAGCACAAACGACTTTCGTTCTGATTTAGTTGTACACTTCAGCCGAATTCCTAATTGATAAATTGTACTTCAATGAATCAAAAATCATTTGTTACACATTTATGCAACTGTCATCAAACGCATTACATACCAAAGAGCGTTTCAAATTACTTTTCACTTCCGAAATTTCCCTCTCTCCTCTGTCGCTCATTTCCGTGATTGTTTACTGGACGTTCGAAATCATAATTTATGCAATTTATTTAAAGGTTGTTGCAAAACTTGTCTATTTCATTAAGAATATTTTATCTATTCAGGTATGTCTATTATCTATCCAGGTACATTAATAATCATATCTATTCGGGTATGAAGCTTCAACGACACTGTACTCATCAAAGATCATTATCAATACGATATCACCACTATTTCGTAGTTTTTTAGAATAGTTTTTTAATTACAAAACTACAGAATTTTTTCGATCAAGCCAGTACAAAGTTTTTGCAAATTCATTGCAACGAATCACTTAATGTTATTGACACAATTTTTTTTCGTAAAAAAGTGATCATCAACGGAATATGATGTATAGAATGAATAAGTGCACGAAGCAGTCATAAAACACAGCAATTCAACTTACAACCTACCTCCGTCGCAATAAGAACTGAACTGACTGCTAGAGGCCAGCTTTTCAAGAGTTCACTTTCTTCGATAATATGTAAATTTCATCATTAAATAAGAATCATTTTTGGGAGCATAGATTTTTAGCACACAAATGCTTGCCAGCTTGCGACTGCTGCATTTGCGACGAGCCGTGATTACAACGAAGAATAAAGAATTAAAGCCGTCAAAATGAAAACCTTTCTCATTGTCAGTAAAACTATTCCGAGATAGCAATAGTGACATAGCAACCGTTTAATAATATTTTATTCGCATGATAATATGTGCAGCAAACTTCAGTACAAATGATTGCAATATGGCGAATATACTGCCCCGAGTGTCGTTGGGGAGGGGAGAAAGAATTTTTAAAAAGCAGGAAAGAAACAACAAATTATATACATTATCATAAGTGAGAACGATGTGTATGATATCTGTATTATATCAATGTATACCTATCATGCTGTTGAGTCGTGTGGTATATTTACCAATAAAATGGGAATGAAAAAAATTGGGTAGGTGAAGTATCAGTTCCTCTACCTTCTCTTGTTAAACAGACATCGTGATTTTACCAAGGGTATAAATCCGATCTGATCTGTTAAGGCAAATCTGCATTCAAATTTTCGGAGATTTTGAGGAGATAAGATGTTGAGGAGTAGACGGCGGACTCTAGCGATTGGCTTGTGAATGAGACTTTTGTAATGATAAATTGGCAACGTTTGACAGCGAGTTTAAGGGAATTATTTTGACGAATTCGTTTAGTGTTTAGCGAAAACTTGAAAAAATCTTTCATTTGAAGATCAAAGTGATGTTGGATGAAAAATCTTGACAGTTCTAAAGATTTTAATTCTAAAATTGACAGTCTCTGCTGGTGTTCGGGTAGGTTATCGAATCTTCGACATTCCCTCTTGAAGATGAAACGTGTCGACATTCACTTTGTAGATCAGAGGGAGACCAAAGAGAACAGGCGTATTCTAGAAGTCGCCGGATAAATAATTTGCTGTGCAGGGATAAACTGTTAGAGCTGAACGATCTGAATATGAATGATGCTCTGATTTTAGCTTTGACTTTTTTGACTGCAGTGAAAATTTGATAATGCAATTTCAAATTCGGTTAATTATGGCATTCAGGTTTCGGACGAATGAGGAGTGAGTCAATTTTTGTTTGATGAGATTGTTCCTATTGTTCTTACAAATTCCAATCAATTTTGGAGCTAATGGTAAGAGCCAGTACGATGACCACTGGTTTATGGAATTAAATATGGTTTGTAAGTTGCTGGAGAACGTGGAGACCTCAGCATCATCTGTAAAAATGAAGCATACTGAATCTAGAGGAAGGCACTCTGGAAGATCGTTGAGAAAAATATGAAAGAGAAGGTGTCCCAGAACGGAATCTCGAGGAACATCACCGCTGATATAATCTGATGAATCAATCATCAGATTATATTACATGAATCATCAACCCAGACTGTTTGAACTGACTGTAAGCTAACAGGCGATTTCACCACGATGGTATCTGCAAATGTAGTTTTTTTCTATCAATTCAGACCGAAGTTATTGCAGTCTTTTAATGACACACTAAAATTACTTTATTAAGTTTGAGTTGAGAAAATCGAATGTTTACACAGTGGAACGTCGATTTATGAACGCTTCGGTTTACAAACAATTCGGTTTAAGAAGAAAATTTGTAAAAATTTGTTTCGGTTTTTGAACATTACTCGGTTTACAGATATTTGATCGAGAATATTCCGTGATGCTCTCAAGCAAAATCAGATGGATTCATAGTAACTGCTATCTTTGATCGTTTCTTGGCAGTTTGTGAACTACTGAGCAGCACTCAGCAAATAGTCCAGTATCTTGGTTCTCGTTGCTAAAGCAGTGCTTTTCTTCTCTGATGGAAGAAAACTGTGTTCGGTAGAGGGCGTCTGAGGCGTGTGCAACGAAAGTGTTTCATTTGAAATGAATTCGCAACTGGAAGTGGCTAACAACTGTCTAGCATCAGAATAATCATCCTGGTCGGATTAATGAATAGCAAATCACAACTCAAAATCTTTTAAGATAACACGTCTATCTCGCTCTCAAACGTCATTATGCAAATTCTTAACCCCGTGCATCTCATCAACTGGGCAGAGAATGAAAACGACCTCGAGCATAACATTCATGCTTTCTCGAATGGTGTTGCATTTATCTCACGTGCTTATGCTGACTAAGCAAACCTCTTTTGTGAGTAGCAGTTTTTAGTACGATCAGCTCTTCAAAGAAATGAAGTCGAGTCTTGGAGCTGAACAACCCACTCAATCCATCACCTATACACGTTGAACTGACAAAGCTAACAGAGCACTAAATACGTCCACGTGGAAACGTCCAGCCGTTCATAAAAGTTTTGGCTGCGTTTTCGTACGACGCAAACTGACAGATTAATGTCAGTTGTGCATTTTTATACTACAGGTCAGAAGTCGGAGAAAAAATCGAAAAAGCGAGCAGACTGAATTCACTGCCATGCTGAAAAGTTCGAGCGTTTTGGGTCGGCTTCAGGCGCAATATTTTTGTTCGAAATTCTGCGTGGAGTGGTTTTTAACTATCGTAAACCAGGATTCGACAGTTGGCTGGTACTTCAAAAATCAAAGAAAAAAACCTTCCTGGACCATTTCTGCTCCACCCTAACTGAGAGATTAATGTCAGTTGCATGTGTCATTTCAAACTGACAGATTAATGTCAGTTGCGCATGTCAATTCATCCAAATTCTGCAGAATGCAACGACAAAGTGCCAAATCCTGCTCTTGTCACATTAATTCATGTCACACGGATGGAATATGCACCAGTCGAAATTTATGGGGCGGTTTTTTGAAATTTAAATTGATGAATAATTTATTTTGTTACTTGCACAGAAAAATATGCTGTCATTTCATTGTTGATTCTTAATGGATTTGTTGGTGATGTGTGCGGATGTGCTCCAAATTGGTATAATTGGAGAAAGTATGCGTTTCGTTTCGTTAAGGTTATTATATGATGAAAGACGGTGATAGTGATCTAACAAGAAGACAACAAGATGAACGTTTAGTGTTAGAATCAATTTACGGCGATGATATCAGAGATGCTAACACCAAAAAAACTTGGAAGGTTGGTTATCATGATATTATCACTTGTTTTTTGTACACTCATCTAATTTATAAGCATATTTGCTATATTATTGTTTCAGTAGAATATTACCCATTCCATATAATACAGTACAATTGGCAATAAGTTTGTTATTTATCGTTTTATATGAAACAGCGTTGAGAAAACATTGAGTTGAAGACATGGAAACCGTTGGACATAATCATTCATTTAAAACCGGTGCAATCGGCTAGTATCAGTGAGAGTAAAGTATTCGTATCGATTGATCTTCATGTGAAATGCTCTAGAACGTACCCAGCTGAGAGGTTTGTCTGTTTTCAGCGTGATATGAAATTCTTCATTGATTACAATATCAAATCTGTATGTAAAACAAACACGTAATTGATTTATTCACTGCTTTGCATTCATAATACTGAATACCGTTATTTTGGATACGATTCAAACATTTTAAGAAAACGAGTGTCGTTTTTTGTATTAAAGGATTTGTGGTATATGACCACTCGTGAGAGATTGACGAGATTCTTTTCAAATTATAAGCGATGGCTAAATTTAACAATGAATGAGGAACTAATTGCGGCTTCTGTTCTGAAGCGACCATTCAATGTCCTTTTTGTTCCATTCTCAAGGACAGGGATTTTTTTGTGAAGATAATTATGATAGCGATAGAAATATGAGATCATTACTGATGCTTATTTAACCATAGCAGGTACCTTATTTTCAACATTAATGTGGCTATCACTAATGCTTTTCAGTTCCCCAGAAATATTTTTGGAGAATGCGAAAGGAATATCAGTTGAGGATTTGTCACTTCTCAAACGACAACTTACTCAAAAAGCTCAAGAAAACAAGGGTTCGGTAAGTTTTCAAATTAATTTGGATCATCGTACATTCAAAACCATTGAATTGCTGCGTTCATGTTTGGTGGTGTTCTCAGTCTCAGCAGTGTCGCGAATTAAGACTGTTTGTTTGCCTTCTTGGCATATGTCGATTGTTATTCTCTAAATTGTTAACAGTATTAAATAATGATTTTATTGACATAAAACTGAGGTTGATAATTTTCATTGTGCTGCTGAATTTTGTATGCTCTATGTGCTAGATATTCAATAAACAAAATAGGTGAATGAAGAGTGGATGAATGCTGATATATATGATACTGGATGTATAATTAAGGAAGTAATAATGGAATTGTGTCAGATAATACAAGAGTTTCTTTATGACAGAAATAAACCGCCTTCTGGTTCATTTCATGAGGGAATGTTACGACACAAAGCCGATTCGGAGAATGAGAAAAGAGTTAGTTGGTGTTCTTCATTCATATTGTGCATCTTGAAAGGCTGATAGCATCAGTCCTCCTTCCCTATTTCATCCGTCTAGTTATTTACTTCTTTTGCTATCCTATTTCAAACAGTTTCTCTACCAAAGTCGAACCTCTTAGGTTCAAATTAAAGTAGGTGAATCTAGCGAATCATAAATTTGTGGATGAATTGATAAAATTTGCAGCTATTACGTGTCAGTTCAGAGCAAAGAGAGCGCGATGAAATAAAGGCATTCGAGGAGATGCGTAAAGAACAGTTATTATGGAAAGAGGCCGAAGATGAAGAAGATAAAATGAAGTTTTCGTCAGCGAGCAGTGATCTGTTCGACTGTGAACTTATCACAACTATTGATGGCTATGAAAAACGTATTTGCAAAGTTCAAAAAAACTCTCTCAAACGACACTCACCTGATTTATTATGCTCTGAATGGATTGCTATTGAACCATCATTTGTAAGTTTTGTCTGTTAGTTTCTAATATTGCCACTGTAGAATGTAATTTAGTGCGATTCATATTTTAAGAGATAATCTTTCGCTGTTTCAGAAAAGTTTTTGTTGAACCGTTCATGACGTGCGATGAACGCGAACAGTTTTCATGATCGATACGTTTTTGAATGACCTCCATGTGCAGATGTGCTCCGTTTGCTGCAAAGTTGATTCTGTTGTGAAATCATTTATAAAAATTCAGAATCGAAAGATGTTGGTATCAGAATGGAATTTCAACTATGCATCGGGAAGGAAAGGAACAGTCCGTAGAAGTAGATTCAATACCAATTTCTTCGAATCAAAAGTGGATTGTTTTGAAAAAGAAATGATGAAATTATGCAAATTGAATCGAACAGATCATGCGTTATGCGCTTATACGTTTATTGCAGTTCAAAAGAAGGCAATCAGCAATTCAGATGTTAATGTCAGGTATATAGTAAGATCAGATTTGATATTTATTGATCTTCTGATGTTGATATTCTATTGTTCGAGGTGAACGATCACAAGATGAAAAACTGGCATTCAAAGTATGCCCAAAAAAACCTTATCCCATTCCCACCCCNCCCCCCCCCCCCCCCCTCACCTCAGGTTGTCGAAATTTTCGACGATCCGCGGGAACGAAATTTTTGTGTTCTTCCGAAAGGGAATTTCGGTGGTATGCCAGAATGCATCCGTCGGTTGATCGTTGAAGATCTTACCAGATTGCGACTGCTGGAACTAGTTTTGATGGTTCGATGCGGTGTCCCCAATATTTTCTGCAACGTTTCAGTATTCGGCAGTTTGGTCTATCACGTACCGAATCTCAAAATACACATTGAAATTGCCATCAACACTTCTTTCCGTAATGATTTTCATATCCAGTTCCGCTGTATTTAAGGATTCTTTACGGGCAGTCAATTGCCGAAAACAGTTTGGTGTTAGTGAACAACGACCGCTTCATTGATTCTCAACCGGTGATTCATTTCAATTTTCTCGATATGTTTATATTTTTTGTAGCCCTTCAAAATTATTTCATTATCCTTCATTCCAAACTGTTCGACTTCGAACAGACTTATTGGTATTCAATGTTATTGCATTCATAATTGATTTACTGATATCGAGTATACCGTTTAACTGAGTCCCTCGAATCGCACAAGACTACTTCTCCTAAAATAATTTGAATAAATTATACTTTATGGTGACATGAACGTAGAAGATTCAATTCTTGGATTGAATCAGATGAAGTATTTTAATTTCAGGAACTACAATTATCTCGTTTGGCATTTCAAATGGTGTATGCAATTAAATGGTTGCATGAAAATCATTTATTCCATGGTAATTTATCGACGAACTCGATTTGGATTACTAATAAACGATTCTTCAAATTTTCTGACTACGTCTTATTGTTCGTTTGTTTAAACTTAATTAATTGAATTGATGGTGACGATTGATTTAAAGTTATCCACGTGTCACATGATTCTAATTTTCATTCTCTATTATTTTTTAAATCTCTATTGTTACGTTTGTTACTCATAGAACATTGAATCGAATTGTTTGAAGATTACTGTAGAGTAAAAATTTCAATTTAAAGACATCGCTTACGAGAGATGTGTGGTATNTTCGAGAAGTGTTCAGCAGCTGATGTGGATATAAATACTGAATTTGAGTTGGAGAAAGATATTCGACGTAGAGATTTATCAGAATTGAGTGAATTCTTTGCGAGATATAAAGGTTCACTTGATAATGCCGTTATCAATAATTATTTGAACAAATTTATCGAAGATTGTAAATCAGTGAAATCAATCGATGAACTTGTCGATCATCCATTCATTAATCAAGGTTTGATCTGTTTTAATTTTTTTCGGAGGAAATGTCTGTTTTATTTCTGTATTATTCAGCATTTTGAGAGTGTGGATCATTTACTCTTCATTAAATAAGCAATGATTAATGAATTTTACAGAGGGCAGGTCTATTGATTCACCGTCGCTATCGTCAAATGTACTCTCATCAATGCAGTTGAGTATTTCACAAGCGAATCAGCATAGTCGTCTAAAGAATGAATTCTTATATATTGATTTCCTCGGAAGAGGAGGTTTCGGTGATGTGATCTTAGCAAGGTTCCTTTTATCCCTTTTTTTCCTATTGAAGACGTAATGATAAGTATTAGTTAGTTGTAATCGATCTTGAATGAAGCGACTTAATCGTTAACAAATAAATGTTGTGTTGATATTTTATCGTCAAATTTTTTTCATTCAGGAAGTATCTCGGCTTCATTTACTGAAATTAGGCGTAATTCATCGTTTAAGATATTTCATATGGATGATTTAGTTTGATGATGATTGATAGAATGTATGGAATGAAATATAAAAGTTCAGGAACAAACTCGATGGTAATGAATACGCAGTGAAAAGAATACCGTTAGACCCTAAGGACAACCGTCTCAACAGAAAATTACTCCGAGAGGCAAAACTTTTTTCGCGACTAAACCATCCGAATGTTGTGCGTTATTACAGTGCATGGATTGAAGATGCACCTTTGCCTCCGCAAGAGACACAATTTGATATTGAACAGTCTCAGAAGATCAGATCTGCAGATGATGACGGTTTGTAATTATGTTTAGTATCAATTAAGTGGTTTCATTTTCAGAATTTATCCGATTCGTCGATGAATATCCAGCTTTTGAAATTGTTTTGTGTTATCTGCTTATTCGGCTCCATATGTTCGTAGTTTATTATTATTCAGATGTTGTATTATACTTGAGCATGCTGTCATCATTTGATTGATATGCTAACGTTCCATTGAAGATCGTTGAAAGAAAATAAGATTATTAGGATTTAGAACTAGTTTTGTTGGATTCGTCAATCTGAGGTTGGCTCTGTTCAGTGAGATATTGATGAAAAACGAATAGACTGCATTATGATGGAGTAGTTTTTTTGTGGGAGAAAAAGTGGTGAAACGCTCTGATATGTGATATAGAATGAAAAGAAATCATGTAATTAACGCAGATTCGCTGATGCCACTACGATTAAGAAACGCGGAGATGTGTGCAGCGAAGATGGCTGGTGACTCAACAGCCGAATGGTCAACGTCCTTCAAACCAATATCGAGTGCTGGAGTTCAGTCGAATTCTGAATCTGATTCGGATTCAGATGATGAGAATGATGCCAATCAAATTCACACTATCTTCTCGTCAGTCTCACACAATACCAACGATAATTCTGATTTCGTTCGTTCACTTTTCTCATTTTTAAGCTCACATATCATCAGCATTATTTGTCGTACATTTACATTTAGTTGATCTTATTTTGGGTGAATACCCAGATTTGAGCATTTAGAAACGCTGAATGAAGGAAGTAGTGGGTGATGTTTAATGGCATGAAAAAATTCATTAGAATTACATTCACGGTTTTATCTTTCAGAAGATTTCAGTTCACTTTATTGATGTAAACTGCGGATGTCTTTCAGAAGGAAGGCATTGACGGAGAGTTTACATCAATGAAGTGATGTACAGCAAAGTGAATGCTTACTTTAGATCTTATTGGGACGATCTAACAAGGATTGCCACATAACACTTCGGTTTTGCAGGATGTCTTATTCGAAGGTGAACGGGAAACGGAATCAGCAGATGAATGCGATGCTACTGAAACATCAAACAAGTCCGATTCAGAATGGTCCAACAAACATCTGCAAACAATGAATAGTTCATTAAATGCTCATCAAATACCACCAAGGATTCTATTCATCCAAATGGAATACTGTGAAAAGTCAACTTTGAGAATACTGATTGATTCTGGTAGATTGTTGGGTAATCAACGCGCGATTTGGCGTATTTTTAGAGAGATCTTACAGGGATTGCAATACGTCCATCAAGAGGGAATGATTCACCGCGATATTAAACCGGTTCGTTTCAGTTAAATCACTTCTTAGTTCATGATTACTGTTATGGATTTATCAGCTTCGTTTGATATCATCACTCATGCTATATTCGTTGTACTGATAATCGCTGTGAAGTTGAATCGTTGAAATTAGTTTTACCAATTCAACTTAATACGAATGCAGTTCAGATGAATATTCTAATCGATGGTAATGAACGTGTAAAAATTGGTGATTTTGGTCTAGCAACTCGTGATTTTTTGTGTCGAAAATCGATACTGAAAAGCGATAATAACTGTGATACCAGTAATGAACTATCAATTACGAAAGACATTGGCACAGCTTTGTATATCGCACCTGAGTTGTTATCCACATCTAATGATAACGCTAGTTTCACCACCAAAATTGATGTTTACAGGTATTTTCATTATCGTTATCATCACGTGTGTTTTTATTATTAGTATAAAAGTTTCATTGTGTCACTTTTCATAATTGCTCTAATTTAGTATTGGTAAATTGCAAGTTTGATGATGTTGCTTGTTTCAATGATAAAATTTATTTATGCTGTTGTTTACAGCTGACAATAAGATGACGTTCATTTAAGGTTAGATTGATTGATCTTTTGTTGTAAACTAGCCATTAACAGCTTTTATATTACCGACATTAATGCTGCATTGATTATCATTATCAGCGTTGGCATAGTCTTGTTTGAAATGTTCTATCGTCCGTTATTACCTGGAATGGAACGGATCACGATGATAAAATCTCTTCGTAACGCTCTGATCTTCCCTTCAGATTTTGCAGCTGATGTTCCCGAGGTTATTGAGTGATTTCGAAATTATTCACTATTTTTTGTTTATTGATTGTTAAACATTGATCAGAATTCGATAGTACTTCTCGGAATGTGTCATTGAAGTATTTCTAAATGACTTAACGTTTTACTCACGGGACATCTAATTTTGGCGTAGTGAATAAATCGTTCATCATATTTAATCAGTCATTTTTAATTTGGATCGTGAAGTTAATTCAGATTAATAATGACAGTTCCGATCACATCGTTTTGCCTTGTCATATTTTACACTTTATCTAAATTAAGGTTCATCGTAAAGCAGCGAAAGAATTAATCAAAATGATGTTGCAACAAATACCCGAGCAAAGACCATCAGTGCAGAATTTGATCGACAGTGAGAAAGTGCCGATCGTTGAAATTGAAGAGAATCAATTTCAGGTTCATTTACCATATTTCATTAACCCTGTGTGATCGCTGAAATAGCTGAAGTGATCCCTGTTGCAAATGGAATTAATGAGTGTCCACTTCAGAAGATGTTCTGTCAAACGTTGCATACTCGTGGTGGTCGTATGCATCAGTGGATGATCGATACGATGCTCAATGAGCCTCTTCCGATCGCCGCTGATTACTTGTATGACAGAGGTGTTTGCTCATTGGTTTGTTTTATCATTCAATTGATATAGAATCGTTACTGACCCAAGAAGAGCTGAATACTAGAAAATCTAATTAAGGATCGTCTGTCAATCTCACGACTGCGTAATATTGAATGTATAAACACCGAATTATCAGCAATATGTAACCTTCACGCATTCATTCCATTCATGTGTCACTCCATTGCACCATTTAATGATCAGTCAATCAATAAGGAGCCATCGAAGTCAAAGGCAAAAATTTGTCGTTTCATCGATGATAATGGTATCACTATTACTCTGCCAGTGAGTTTGTTTTGAAAAAGTTGTTTGATTTACCATAACGAATCTTTCAGTAATTCAATTGAGTTTATTTTCTGTGTGTATCATTAATGAGCGTCCATATAACTCATCTCCTTGTTTATCCCGTTCTCTTGAAATTGATAATAATAATAATAATAATAAATTTCGAAGCCTTTAAAATTTGTGTCATATTTTGATGTTTTTCTCATTAATATTACATTCTGAACCAAAATTGGGTGGTCGAGCATAAATATACGCATGTGCAGTATAATATGATTAATAATTTGTTAGTACGATCATCGTCGAACGTTTATTCGTTACTGCGTTCGTAATGGACTGAATCGTTTGAAGAGATATGCGCACGGCAAAGTGTTCAGTCGTTCAGATGCACTTGGTACGTTTCTGACTGATAGTGAGTGGTTTTTGATTGGATTATTATTATTGGTGTTTGATAGTGTTGTAATGAGACGAAGGATGATAACTGAAATATTTCAAATAGCCATCGTTTGAATAAGATTTATTTTGATGTTCACAATGTAATCATAGAAAAGCGTGAATGAATTTGAGGTGGAATTCACCCAATCGAACGCAACGAATTCGCAGTCGACTGCATCGGTGCAGTTCACTCGTCATCAGCGTTAACTGCTGATCTATTGTGCATAATGATCGAAGCAGCACATCGACTGAATGCGATCAATTCCTATAAATGGCGACTGGTCATCGGTCATCGTTCACTGATCATCGCCACTGCGTTCTACCTCGGTTTCGTTGATCCCTCTTCCATCCACAAAATACTCAACGTCCTTTATATTACAACCACCACCACAAACAGTTCGTTTCTTGATCACTTCATCTCCTTTTATTGCTATCGCTCTTAACGAGTCTTCTTCAGAACAATATTTGCAGAAGTAATGAGTCGGGAACAGAAAGTTGAACGTTTGAGAGTTGGAGGTGAAATGTCGTATAATCAAGCGAATTCATTATTGAATATTCTCGATGGTGATGACGATTCGTTAGAGGGCATTAAGGAAAGATTCAAGCCGTTGATACAATCACGAAATGATAAGATCAGTAAATTGTGCAAGAATGCATTCGACGAAATCACTGACATTGTTCATATTCTTCAGTTATTAACTGGTTTGAATTTGCATTTTATTAATTCATTATTTCGCCAGCTGATCTCTGTGAACATGAATTGTCAGTATTTGGGGAGTAGCAGCGAAATTTCATTGAACTGTTCAACAAAGGAAGTATCCATGTTGTTTACTGAAATGATGATGAGCAAGTGTAAATGAAATTAAGGCAAGATAAATGATCGTTTGATATTCGATGGTTCATTGTGCTACAGACCACAAACTTTTTCAAGTGGTATAATATTCCAGTTGCAAGTTTTGATTCATCATAAACGGACCTTTCGAACAGTTATCGTTTGCAGCGGAGGTTACTGTTTTCTGGAATTTCAGTAACTAGTAAATTAGCAGTGAAACTTTTTTGTGATTAGTGAAATTATTTGTGACTGACTTAATCTTGCGCGTGCTTGTGACATGTTTAATTTATCGATCAGTTTATTCGGATGTTAACAGCACTCATTAAGTCTTTTGTTTGCACATTGCTCTAGGTGAAACATCCATCAAAAATGACAGCGATGAAACGAATGAATCAATGAATGAAAATAGATAAATAATGCCAAGAAATAATCACAGGTCGTTACGATGATTTACTGACTGAAGAACGTCACGTCCAGGATCCGAAACCACCAATCACACTGTGTGCAGTCGGTTGTGCGTTTGCAGTGGACTCTATCGCACAGCTGCAGTCTGCTAATGCTGATCGTACTCAGAGTTGGTTTATGTGCTTGTTGTCATTAGTTCTTGTGAATATTATTTTCAGCATAGTAATCAAGTGCGATGATGACGATTTTTTTTAGAGAGTCGTTTGTCGTGGTGTACTGCGTTGGTGTGTTCTACATCAGCATCATTACTCGAGCAAAAAACGCATTTGGTTCAAAATTTGTGGAGAATGGGTATTTCGGCTGATTTTCTGCATGACCCTGTTGAAACGTTCCAAGTTGACCATCTCATCGTTCGTTTTATGCATTTAATTTGAGTTCACTTATTTCGTTCATCTTTATCGAGGAACATATTTTTAAAATCATATTTACTCATCTTATTGCATACAATAATTGATCAGATAATAATTCGTTGGTTTGTCGCAAATGGATAAAATACTTTTAGCTTGCATTCTCTTTCATTATTGTAATGTAAAATGAAGTAAATCTATGGTATTATAGTAATAGTATTATAGTAATAATTATCAGTAATAATAACGTTAATTTAAGGATCATTGTAATGATGAGAACATAGATGAATTATTAATAGTGATTGATAATGACCAAGTACTGGTAAGATCGAAAGGAAACGATCTTGGTAAGATGCGATTCGATGAGTTGTTCGAAAGATATAGCAGCAGCAGCAGCTCTGGTCAGCAGTCGAATGCGAACTTCAACAACGACCCAACAACGGCATCACTGTCCTCGTCATACACCCACTCTCATTCACCGATCAGATATCCTGTTCAGAGCACTAACACATCCACCGCTACGTTCGCTAATTTGAACATCCATTATGCACTGTGTGAAAAACTTGCTTACAACACCAAAAAACGTATCGAGGTTTGTTGCTGTCCAATCTGACTTATTTTTATAGGTTATCTTTTTTAAATGATAGCTCTGAATGAGTTAAATGGGTAGAGTAAAGATGGAATATTGTAAAGTTCATAAGAAGTAGTGTAGCGATCTTGTATTGTGTATTCCAGTTCCAGAATGAAAACCGGTTCACTCAATTAAAACGGTGAATAAGTGAGTGATTGAAATTTAAGGAGTAATCAGCAATTGAGAAGTTGTATCGGTTGTTCGATATCAACTAATATAAATAACATTTCAGAGCCAAGTTCGATTGAGTTTGCAAAACTTACTGTCGTGTTTATCATCAGTGTCGGTGATAAATGTAGTTGTAAACGACCTACCAGTTGATGGCATGCGTCAGTTGTCGGCGTTGATCGATCGCAATTACTCATTAAGTGATTTGGAAATATCATTTAATACACTGAATAATCAATTCAACAAGTACAAAAAAGACTTGAAATGCATTAAAGACATCCTATACGATTTAATACAATCGAAAAATATTCACTCGGTTATTGTTCTGTTTCCGAGACAGTCCAACAATAATTTTTATAAAGTTATCATGTGAAGTTCAGTTTTATTTCAAGTTATTTCTCTTTATTAGTGTAGTCAGTTCTTTACAACTTCTTTTCAATTAGTTCTTCGATATATGCTCATGATAGTTTTAGTGGTTCCACTAGGATACAGACAAATAAGATTGTTTGCTCATCTGTTCGTATGGACCAAAAATTCTTTTACTCGTTCTATTAATGAAATATAAAATTGGTCTGTATTATTATCACTGTTATTGAACTGTGTGCATTTGTGCAGCGTTGAAGATTTGTAATTGATTTTTTGAATTCAGATGGTTGTATTTATTGAGAATATGGTAATTTATTGTTTACTGCTATGTTTGAACGCGGGTTTTGAATAACATTTTCCGAATGGGAAGTGTTATTTCTTTATTGTTCTCTCAATTTTTAATAATCTGCACATTGATTTCTGTTATTATTAGTTTGGTATAGAGAAATTTTTGTAATTCGTTTACTGAAAACCGTTTATATGAATATTTAGTTTTATGATATGATATTGATTCGTTGTGCGTTGAAATATTCGCATGAAATGTTTCTAAAGTTGAGAGTAGATTGCTTTCATTGGAATTATCGGATATGGTTTCTGATTTCAGCTTAATCCGGTGTCAGCAGGATTGCTAGTGGTACTAAATGAATTATGATCATTTGTGAATTGCTTTGTGATTCTACTGATTGACTTACGTTCAACTGTTTGTTTTTTAAAATGAATTTCATTGAGCTTATTGAATGTATCTGTGATGTATTCGAGTGCGTAATTAATACCGTATCACTCCTCCACTATCGCAATGAACTGTTTATCACAAATGTACAAGCTCTTGTTAGTGAGAACATTAATAGAATCGTTTTATTGTGTTGACTGTACTCTTAATTGATCAGTTGAAAAGGAACGAATTGAAGAAGTTCAAATTTTTTTAGATCAGGTTTGTTTTTGATTTGTTCTTGAATCTATAGCTGGTATGTGTGCATGTAGTGTGCTGTTCTTATCTGTGTGATTTCACCGACCTTATTGACAGTGGTGAAACACAAACTTTTCGTTAGTACGCTTGGTATCTGCTGTTAACGATCACAATTTCTGGTCTTCATAAAATAGTTATTATTATCATTAAGCAAATAATCGGTGTTGGATTGTTGTTTGAGTGAATCCAGCTGCGAATTAATCATAATGAGGTGTGATTCATCGAGGCAGTCTCTTCCAAACATTCATCAATGCCACGATGCACCTGTGCAAACGAAAACAATCCAGTTGCAAGAAACGCAACAAGCAATGCATCCAAATCCATAAAAACACGTTCAGCTAATTCAATAAAGATCATTCATATCGATGCACACATACAACACAACAGTGCTTCCTTCCCCCATTTTGCTTGTTATCGTCAAATTAAAGTGGGTAATGTTGCATTACTTCGTGAAGTTTTTTGTAGTTCATGATATGAGCCAACACTGGCATAGTTGCGTGCATATATGTTTTGATACAGTGATTCTTCAGTGAATTGTAAAAGTTGTTCCTAACAGCTGTGCTTTGTGCAAAAATTTGAGCGATCCCACGCTGAGCGAAAATACCACGAATACCGACCACCTCGCTGCGATATTTGTCATTTTCAGTTAGTATCTAAATGAACTGATTGGTAAAAAGTCGTACATTTTCTTGTAAGAAATTCTCCCATTTACGTGGTAAGAACATACTTGTCCATTACTCTTTGAAATATCGGAATTTGACGATTCATTTTTATAGTAACATAACCAATCATTTAGGGACATACTCACTTTGATTGACGTCGTCATTAAATAACGACTTGCAACTAGCAATTTCGGAAACACTCAACTATTTAGAGCAGTGCTGACTGTGTCTGACGTGTTGCTCGTTCTTCTGATCGATAGCTTAAATCCAAAGCAAATACCTTCACGTGCATTTTTATTATGCCCAGCAATATGAGCTCACCTCTTAAATACATCTACTTGAATCACTCCCATCTAGTGCTTTCATTTTATTTTATTGAGTCTGGTTTTATGCATCCTCTGAACTGTGCTCTGTTGACCACAGCATATTGAATGCGTTACTTTTAAGTTGTTTATATCAAATGAAGATATTTGTCGTTGTAATTTAAGCATGAATTGATCGAGTCGCAAAAGTGGCCTCAAATAAATCATGCTAACATGCATCGAATCCAATGGAAACTTCATTAAAGAACCTGAAAAAATACAATATATGATGAACAACATCCAGCGTGCATTTGACAACAGCACATAT